CCGCTCGGTAGAACCTATGCGTACCGCCCGATGGCAATCGAGCGGGCGCCTGCCAGTCTTGTCTATCTGCCTGGCTGCATCATGATATGTTCACGGGCACACTCTCACTGTCGTGCGAGAAAGGATACCAAGATCAAGCAAGAACGATGCCACATTCCTGTAGGCATTATGCAGTAGCGTTGCAGGATATAGCCAAAACAGGTGTAGAACGAACTCCCAAGTGTGTGAGTGAGTGTTGTCTCAACCTTGGACCATGCACGATATCGAAAACAGAGAAAGAAAAAAAAGAAACAAAAAGAAAAGAAAAAAAAAAAAAAAAAAGAGGGGACTTGAACTGAAGCAATACATGGAATGAAACGGCTACCAGTCGCCATAACCAGAAACTGAAGGGTCTGGTCGAAGGAAGGAGGAAGGACCCCTCTGTCTCTCCTCTCACTGTCGGTAGTCTCGGGTAGTTTTTTGTTGGTGGTTGGGAAGAATGGTATCAAGCAAGCAAGCAAGCAAGCAAGCCGCAAGAAAGCGAGGACGACGATTGAGCATCAGAAGAGAGATGAGACATTGACCTGTTTGAGAGATGTGAAGGATGGTGATTGGTTGATTCGTGTTGGTGCCACCTCGCCCTGCTTTTTTTTTTCGTTCTCTGTTTCCTGGGCCCGAGCTCAAAACGAGAGGGACGAAAAAGTGCTGTGTGTGGTGGGCAGTGGTGGGGGGATGCGAGTCTGTGCTGCTGCTGCTCAGCCGGGCGGGCACCTGCATTTCACCCTGGCTTTGCGCCTGATCGCCTGTGTGAGTAAGTCGAGAATTGAGATGAAATGGGAGCGACCAATCAGAAGGAAAAGTGAGGCTTGCTTCACATGCTGACTGTCTGCATTTGGGCGGATGATTGGTTGGAGGGGGTTACTTTCTTTGGGCCCAAGTAGACATTTGGGAGTGTGGGAGGGGCGACGGAAAGGATTCCATTCAGAGAAAAGGCTGGAGGCAAGCGAAAGGGCCTCATCATCGTTGCAAGAAGGGATCGATATACCTATGTACAGATAATCATGGCTTCCCGACTCCCATACAAGGCTTTAAAGCAGAAGCCAAGCTAGAACAGGGCCAAGGCAACAAGGCATGGAAGGAAGCAGGTGACATCCTCGACGACGAGCGTCCCATCTGCCCCTCCATCCATCCATCCCAATAGGGAAGTCATGCCTCCCTCTATGGAGGGCGATCCATCGTTTTATCCGACTTGTTTATTACAGCGGGATCAACAACAATCAATTTCCGGAGCTGGTGATGACGGTCGACGGTCGTCATTCATCATCATCATCATCATCATCATTGCTGCGGCACAGTGCATCCAGCGGGCAATATCCGTTGGGAAGATCCCCATGGCCCCTTCATTCCAACATTATCAATATCAAATCACTCTCAGCACTTTACAAGCTAGACAAAGCACCACACGGTAATCTTTGACGAATATGGCTGTTAAGCTCCGACCACTATACCATTCCCGGGAGTCATTCTGCGTGTTTCTAACCAACAGATTCATTTCCCACGTTGTGATATTGTCCTTTATTCAAATCATCACACTTGATACAAGACGTGGATATCCTTGTTCGGGAAATCAAGATCGTGCCCGCGTACAACTGCACTACACTACAACAAAAGACTCTGAGTCTGGGGCCCGGAAAGTTGCCCAAATGTGGAGACTCGCTTCTGATATGTACCTCTGCCCTGGAGCTGGAACACGACGGCGTGGGCCGGCAAGCGGGAAGGATTTACAGTGGGGAGCAAGCCTACACTAAAAACACGATGATACAGTGGGGTTCATTTTCTCTGTCTTTCACTTTTCTCCATTTCCATGGCCCATTATGAGATACGAAAAATAGCCCAAAAAGAGCAATCACAAGAGACATCATATGCTGCCGACGCCGGCCGGTCGGCTCCTCTGGCTGGGCCTCTCGGTTGATGAATGTGGATCGTGGACTGTTGATTGTCACAACGACAAGGTCAGGGGCATCAACAAGAGCCAGGGGTCCCCGATCCAATTCCCGCCCAAGAGAAAAACATCAAAACAAGAAGGAAGAATGGAATGAATGGCATGGGCAGAGCCGCAGCCCGAGGAGGAGCTGGAGGTGGTTGCCGAAACAGAGCGAAAAAATGGAGGAGCAAGAACGCAAGAGAGTTCCAGAAGCACCCCACTGGGCACTCTGCCCAATAGTGAGAATCCACTCCTATCTCACAAAGTGGAATGCCCCTGTCATTGGTCTGATCGATCAACGGTTTCCGACTTGTCTCGTTCCTCCGGGACGGAGACGGAGAATCTCTGGGGGCTCCAGTTTTGTTGATGCCTTCTCCAACGCCCAACTTCTAAAGCCATCCACTGAGATCACTGCAGTACCCCTCCAGCTTGGGCCCAAACAAGCTGCTGCTGCATCGACTTTGGGCTGGCAGCTGGCACTACTGCTGGCTAGCAAGAAGCTCCAGAAGCCAGCAGCTGTTGCAGCAACAGCACAGAAAGTCGGTGAAGCGTTCACGGTAGCCACTCACACAGGCCTTTCAGAAAATAGCTCTTGTCTCTGGCCAATCGACTTTGCTAGTTGCCAACGTGTTTGTTTTCTCATTACCAAATCAGGCATTGTGTTGTCTTTTGCATCCATGTCTCCATTCAAACAAAGAGCTCTCACTAGAAACTCCTTCAATCCTTGTAATCAGTACACTCTAGACAGCTGATGAGCTGTTCCGTCGTCCATTCTCCTCCACTAGCTCACTCCCATACTCACCGCAAGAGTCAGCATTGCAGGTCGTTTGCAGCGCAGTGGACAGTTGTCTTCAGCTGATTCAGTACCCGAGTTCCACGCCGTGTCGACGGCGTCGTAGGCTCGTAGCTGTTTGCCGGCACTACAGTCGGGCATTCCTTGGACTTCCGGGTGTTCGGTTGCGGAGCTGTGTAACCTTCGCTCTTGAGATCGGCAACAAGCACACTCCACGGCTTAGTCTATCGAGACTACAGTGTGCACTTCACAAGTATCGATAACAGTTACATGTACTTTGTGTTAGTGTGCATACGAAGATACCAGCTTCATGCTAACAACAGCACCTGATTTCAGCAGTTAGAACTACGCAGTATACCACATATGTAAGTCAGGCTCTCATTATGTATCAAACATCTCGACCTGGAATCTACCAAGCAAAATCGCACATCTCACTCCTCAAAGCCACCAGCAACCGATGGGTTACCCAGATAAGTGGACATCCCGCGCCTCTCCCATTCCCAGTGTCACAGTGTAGGTATGTCTGTCTCTTTAGCCATACACGTCAACTTGGGCCGAAACTTTCGGCTGTGTCAGTAACTTGATCGGCCGGAAGTCCGTCACGACATTTCGAAGGACCGTACGTGCGGCGGCTTCTGCTACCGGACCGGGAATTATCACCAAGTCCTGCCCCAGGCCTGGATGTTTGGGTGTTTGGGCAATCTCCAAGGCATTGTTCCCGCTTTGGCGTCGCTCTACGATCACCGGTCTCATACTGTATTGCTACGCTGTCCTGCATTCCCCGTACATGCTACGCAGTACTGCAGTTCTGTGCAGTCATGCCCGAGCGGCATGATTTGATGGAGACTCCGGAAGGGGAACGGACGAAACGGATCGCCATCTCTCAAACACACAAAAAAAAACGCCGACATCTGCCGCCATGTTACTAATATAGCATAGATCTCGGAGTCCTAATGGATCCCAATGGGTCCCAATGGGTCATCCCACTGAACATCATTGATCGGCAGTGGTCTAGACGAGACGAAAGACCAGAAAAGCTGGGAAAGCGCCTGAAAATATGATACCTCGGACGACAAAACCTAGCAAACTGGGCCGACGTACATTGGTTAGTTTTACAGTTGGAGCTTGGACGGCATCAGGAGAATGGGGTAAGAAAGCAACTGCCCTAGCTCCGCGCGTTCATGGGTCAAGCTATTTAAGTGTTTGCATTAGCGCATTATCTTGGGGCTTGGGAAGGGCTTGGGGCTGGGGCCGGTGGCAGAGGGATTGATGAGACGGCGTCTGTTTTCGCTCCTCTCGTCCAGTCAATAAGGGAGACTGCACTGGCTGGAATCTGGATCGGACCCTTCCTTGTCTCAGCGTCATCGCCATCATCGTCGTTGCCGGCCGTTCTCTGATCTCTACTTCTTGCTGGGTGCTACGTACTTTACCAAGCAGTCAGCTACACCTGGCTTCATCGTGCCTCTCGGAGCTGTTTACCAATCGTGATGCGGCACCTTCCGCGAATTCAGTGTCATGGGCGTGCGTGGGTGTGAAGGTACTCTGAGTGATGGTTGGGTGGGATAGCCGACAAGCGGCATGAACAACAGTTGTTGTCGTGCATAAAGCTGGGACTGGATAACATACCCTACCACCAGCCACTATCGTCGACACCACTACTACCACCACCACAATACGTACACCACATACCAACCGTCCATTCCAAGATGCATCTCGCATATGACCCCACTGGCCCGGGCGTACCGTGAAGCGTGAACGAGAGGGAAAGAGAGGGTGGGGGAAGAGAGAGAGAAATGGCCGCGCGCTCTCAGCCTCCGGTCGGTGATCCATCAACACCCCATCGCATCTCATCGGTGCTACTACCTATCTGGCAGGATTGGCTGGAGCCCTGTCTCCTGCTGCTGGGTACTCGGCCGCTAACTCCCCATCATCTGTCACAGGAAGAGGGGAAATGCTCCCTCACTTGGCGGTGAAGGAGGCAAAGGGCAGTCTAGCCTTTCGGGCCCCGTCTCATGAAGTTACTGACTGCAGATACCATGATGTTACTGGTGCTTTCGTCGTCGTTGGCCTGTAGCCTCACGATGTTTGTGTCTGTGTCTCACCCCTCCATCTATCCCCATATGGGGCTCACGAGAGCTGTTACTGGGGAAGTAGACCATGATGGACTCGGGCAAGGGCCTCTTTCACCCCGGAAGATGTGGGTTGGGTGATCTATCGTATCAATCATCCTCCCCCCCCCCCCCCAATTCACCTGGGGAATTCTTATCTCGGCTCCCGGCTTATGAGGGCTGTCTTCAGTCAGTCTCAACCGTTTCCGGTCATGTGCAGTTTAGATGAACAGCGGGGAAGGGACGGAAGGGCCTGGCTGCCGTTGAGTTGGGTGTGCCGGGTTGTCCGTTTCTCGGTCTCTTCCTCCACCTCCTCACCGTTTGCTTCTGGCTAAAAGGTGTAGTCACGGCATAAGGAAGCACATGCACTGGCGCTATGCACACAGGCTCTTTGTGTGGACTGTACCGCCTGTCAGCAGCACAACAATGCACAAGCAATATCAGCCCTCCCACCGAGGCATGACAGCGAGGCATAGCAGCTAGACTAGGTGGACACTAAGGTCTGGTTTTGAAACTTCAGCTGTCTTGTGGTGGTTTAGTTGATAGTAAGACACATGTACTGATTGCAGCACATGATGCTGATTGGTTTGAGGTGATCTTACTCTCTAGGTATCTACACCGATTGTTAGCAACGTGCACACTCAGTTTGTTTACCTTCATGGAGTAACCATATGATGATGTTTCAGTGGTCAGATATTGTATGTTTGCGTGTCTGTTATTCTCTACGTCCACCAATGACATGATTCCCCTACGCCATATGGAGCGACACGCTCGGCTTCCATGTAGGGTTCACTGAATTCCTAGACAATAGTGAAAACCATATAGCCAGGCAAGGCCGTGGTACCCGTCCATGAAACAAAACAAGCATAGGCTTGCAGCTTACCGTTGTCTCGGAGGCTCCGGGAGAAAGGGGGGCAGGAAGGCCCACCTTCAGCCGCGCCGTGTCTTAGCAGACGGCACCTGCAGCCGACTTAGACTACACTACTGTGCGGTACTTGCACATCCCATATACGGAGCTACCAAAATGTTAAAGCAGGGCAAAGGCAAGGCATAAACAATAACATTTTCGAGCTTGGGCCGTCTTAGATGACGGTAGGTGAGGCTGAAGCCACCGAGCCGTGAGACGGGAAAGTGAACACAGTTGAAACTCGATCGAAGTGGCTCAATCATGGCTTTGGGCTCCTCTTTCATGTCTTTGTTTAAAGACTACAAGATGGAATGGTGGTGTGTCTCGAGGCTCGGAGGTAGTACGCGTTTGAAGTATAGTTGGTGAATAGTCTTGTACTCGCTCGATAATTTAAGTAGTCTCGGACTCGAGATGAGTAGTCTCTTAACTCTATTGTGTGATCCTCGGTTCTGCTGATCATGTTCTGTCTTAGACTTGGCTAACACGCGTGACGCGATGAACGAGGCTCTTTCGCCTCAATGGCAGAGTCCGAGCCATTGGTGGTGGCTTTCGGAACAAGCGAAAAAAGACAAAGAAGGACGAAGGGCACACGGGTAGAGCCACTCTTGTTCGACTTGTGTCTTGTCAATCAGCCACTCCAACAGTCAACTTTCGGCAGTTACCACTGCAACTAAGAACAAAGAGAAGCAGGAAAATATGACCGAGGTGGCGCACCGAAAGGCACGGAAACGATACGGGGACACGATGATTACCAAAAGTCAGGTTTTCATCCAGCCCGGACAAGTCAACCGCGCCCGTCCGGCACAAGCGACTTTAAGCGCCATACCTGATGTTATAAGTCATATATGTGCAGTGGGCAGGACAGAACTCCTTCAATCGGTCGGCCAAGTGAGACAATTATAGACGGTCACTGCCGAAGCCAAACCTCCTCTTTGTGAACACACGGCAAGTATTGCTCCCTCGGCGAGTAATGAGTTGCAGTTGATGATTACGACAGTTTAAGTTTTGATTCTGTGAAGGCACAGATACCTAGAGGTATTCATGGCGGTAGTCATCGATCTACCAGCGCTAGGAAACCGTGTCTGTATGCCGTCTTTTATACGAGTGTCCGTACCCGTATCCGTAGCTTAAATTATACGTCACTTGTTCTGATGAAAGAACACGAGTCAGGTTAGATGCTTTGGGATACGTAACATGATAGCTCAGCCATATCAATAGCGGCCATCAATTTCTGCCGCATGTCTTCGGTATGGAAAAATGCACACTGCGACATTACGGGTTCAGTGTTTCCTATGATAATCAAGCTGATATCACATCTGACTCGAGCCTTACCGGGCCAAAAGACATCTTTGGGGGTCCGTGTCTGGGAAGGGAACATAGCAGTTACACCATCGGATGACTGATTCACATTCTATCCTATGCGCTACCATTGTTACTTTAGTAAGCGCTTCGGGGTTTAGGTTCACCTGAAAGGTACCGACACCCAGCTTAGCAAAGGCGGTAGCCGTAGCTATAAGCGGACAGTGAACCTGAACGAATGTTGGCGATTCCGATTATCTCTGAGTAGAATAAGCAGCCGTGTATGTGCATTGACCGTGTGGTGGTGTGGGAGTACGTAGCAGGTAGGTTGCTGGGTCTCTTGACTCAATGTTAAGGGTCAACCATTCGATGTTTTCCTCGAAGGTTCGGGAGCGAATGTAGACGGTCAACTCTCCTGGTGGATATCGTCGTAACTGGAATGGCACTTCATACATTAGCCAAGATGCTCTGAGCGTCCGAAGGAGGGCGCTTTGAGTAATCTAATGTGGCCTACCGTTAAATAGAGAATTATTTTTCTCAGTCATGAACAGCTGCTGGGTAAGGTTGGCTGGTGAATTGCGGCGATGCTGTCCATCGGACGACAGCGCTGACTTGACCTTCCGCACCTCAAATTGTAGCATTTCGTTTCTACGAGAGTATGTACATCTGTGATCGCATGGCTTCATGCATGAACGCAGAGTTGATTATCATGTATGAAATTTGACCTCAAATTCTCGGATACTAACCGCCGTCAGATCATATGTCATGGGCTATAAGCGCGCGTGTTGCGACTTTTTATGGTGACAGTGGAGTGAATTGCTGGGACACATAACCTTTGACTTATCCGACGGGTAGAGATGAACATCAAATGCTCCTGGATTGATGAGGCACTTGGCGCAAATTTCAATGTTCATATGACGGGGGGGCTGAATTCAGCTGGAGACCATCTCTGGTCCGGAGACTTACCGTCGTGGACTAGATTGATATCTTGAATGGGATCGATCTTGACAGTCTACGGGGGCTGAGGCACGTGCTCTCGAGGCGCAGCGATTTGGGTCAGGATGTAAGAGATCAATCAAACCTTTGATGATACTCTCAAGAACAAGAAGAAAAAGAAAAAAAAAAGGAAAAAAAAAAAAAGAGGATCGTGTAAAACTTTTGGACTTGAGAAAAGAAAGGATGGAACAAATAGTAGTAGATTCCGGCCTTGAAACATCGAGAAGGGATGGCCAAGGTCTTCTTCTCCATCTACACCCAGGTTATCAGCGGTAAACACCGACAGGCACACCGTCCTTTCCATGAGCTGCTGTTGTGAGCCGCTCCGATTGTTGGCGCTTCGCCATTGCCCACTGCGTCCGATTCATCGGCAACCTCTTTTCCCGCGGGCACCAACGTTGTACGCCTCTTCTGCAATAACCCCTTTATCGAACTCCATCCCATTCATTAATGACATCCTGGTCCCAAGTGGAAGGGGTCAAAACAACAGGTCCTTGTCCCAAGACAGGCCATCTCTTTATAGTCACAACATACAGCTCCTGGAGGATGGTCACCAAGCTGAACATGATCAAGAATAGCGGCACAGGGATAGTTACAAACTCGTAGCTTTCGTAATGCGTCTCGAGAGCCTGCAACGCATCCAGCAAAGTCGTAGGATCATCACGCGCGCCAGCTTGTTAGCGGCCTGGCCCAATGAGCCCGCCAGGAACATACGGATCGGGCTTGATGGGTTCCCCAGGAACAGTTGGGTCGGGAGCAAGCGGACCGCCGAGGATGGGGTTACCGGGGGCGAGTGTAGTCCAGCCAGGAGCACCTTGACCACAAAGCTGTATGGCCGTAACGAGGATCTGCTCAATGTGGAAGATGTTGGTCGGCGCCTTGGCGGGGCCCCCATAGGCGGTTGTCAGAGCGGCGAGTGCAGCCTTGAGACCGAGAATGTCCAGGAGCTGGCAGCTGCCTGTACCGATGGTGATCTGGCGCTTGGAGGAGGCAAAACCAGAGGAGACGGCGCCATCAACAGGAGCACCGTACAGCTCGAGCAAATCAGCCATCTGTCGGAGGACAAGCCAGGTGATGGAAGAGGGTTGACCGCCTTGGCTAGACCCAAGGAGCAGGTGATATGACTTTTCCAGTCCGGCAAGGTCAAAGTCTGCGGCAGGCTGAGGAGTGGCAACGGCTTCGGTATCAACACCTCGCTTCTTGTCGGAGGGCTTGATGACGGTCCATGTGCCATCGGGAGATTTGACGATGGCGATGCCACATCCGGCAAGGAAGCTGGTCAACTTCTGGATAATGATGTACTCCTGCACTGTTGGCTTGGGTTTGTGCAAAAGAGTCTCGAGAGCAATCTCGGCACCTTCCAGCCCCGGGCAGACTGAACCGTAAGCGCCAACAGAGGGCGCATCACGCTTTCCGGGGACGAAACCAGTCTCAGTTCCCGAGGGTGCAGAGATCTGGTCAATACCGGCTAGATACTTGAGTGCAGACTTGATGGCTTGGATATCGGCCAAATCTTCATCAGTCTTGTTCTTTTTGTTCTGGAGGGAAATCAACTGCTTCTCAAGTTGTAGGATAACCTTCTTAGTGTCGGTCGCGTAATCGCCAGGCAGGAAGAATGACCGCTTGCCGGGAGTGAAGCCAGTCTCAGATCCAGGCGGTGCGGAGATCTGATCGATATTCGCCAGGTACTTAAGGGCAGTATTGATGGCGCGAATATCAGCGATGTCCTCAGACGTCTTGTTGTTCTTGTTTTGGAGAGCCACCAGCTGGTTCTCAAGCTGAAGGATCACTTGCTTGGCATTGGTGGCATACTCCGCCGGGAGGCTGAATGATCGCTTTCCTGGCGTAATCTCTCCCGGAATTGGGAAGAATATACACGGGGGTTGTTCGCTGATGGGAAGAGAAATCTCGCAGGTAGGGATCTCATCACCATCACCGGGATGAAAGTCGCTGTAGCCAGGTCCCAAAACTTGTCGTTTTTCTTTGCCGGGTCTGATGATACCCGGAATGGGGAAGAAGATGCAGGGGGCTTGCTGAGAGATGGGGATGTTGATGGAGCAGGTTGGAGGGGCTTTGCCGTCATCGGGAAAATCGCTCCAGCCACCTCCTACGGAGGTCTGACGCTCCTCTACCTTCTTGGAAGCTGGCAAGGCATGGACGACATCAAAGCCGAGCAGTGACAGAATGAGGCTTGATCCGACCATGATGGCGGAGGAATGGGAGGACTGCCGGTGCTAGTTGTTGTTGGTATTCATCAAATCTGGGCAAAGTCCATGTCTGTAGAGAACAACTCTAAGCGTGATCGAAGTACTGTATGGATCTTGGCCTTGTTGATATAGACATGGCATTGTCGGTTGCTCATCGTTCGATGCATGCCAAGTACGCTTGCTGCCTTCATTAACCTCCGCTTGAAGCCAAGTAATATTAATAGCATTTCGATATCGATATTTTGGATTAGATCCGTCCGATACTCCGGGCGGAACAGCATACGACGTGGGTGATGTTGCGATATGGCGACATGGTGATATAAGTTTGGTGGCGACAATATCGAGGTAATATGGAATAAATGATATCCAAGGTATTGAAGGCCTGGTGGTGATATAAACCGCTTGATTTACCCGACCGGCCGGCATCATCACCCAAGGACCCAAGGTCCCAAGCTCTCTTGACCCGTGGCCCGGACTCGTGTGGCCAACCGAAATGTGCTCTGGTTGGGATTTAGACGCAGATGTGGGTGAGGACAAGGGGACGGGCTATTTTCGGACTGACATAGTGTTTTCACCCACCTTGACCAACTTGGCGTGGGCGACGTGCTGCTTCCCATCCGTGGTTCATGTATGAATGGTGGTAGATATCGCAGCGCACACTCCCGGCGACCCGTAACATTTGTCGCAGGAGTTGGGAGATGGAAACTGCGTCACATTCGGGGCGCTTTTGCTCTGTAAGAGATTGATGATGCCGAGGTGGTGAAGCGGTGAGAGTCGGCGACCTGTCTGTCTGCTTTTCACGAACAGCCCTCAGCTTTATCTCGTCGCTTAGACACAGACTGTCTCAACGCTTAATTAGTAGATCTTCCGCACCCTCGTAATTTGGGTGTTTGTGGGCGCATGGCATCTCTGAACCGAACATGAAGGTGCCTTTGAACTTTGCTCAAACACTTGTCCTTGTCGAACATAAAATCACCACCTCAATGGGGGATGGACAGACACAGACCAACCAGACCATTGTGATAACGAAGGCGTATATTGAAGAAGGGTCGAGACTGAGAAACACACAAGGTTGGTTTCCAAGAATAGAGAAGAGGTTACTCCGTGTGGGTTGTCTTCTCGACCTTATCCAGGTAACCCGAGAGAGTCTGGACGGGCCATGACCGGAGTCGGTGGTTGTCATTCCCCTTCGGATGTCATCTGGGAGCCTTGGCTTTTTTTTCTTCTTCTTTTTTTTTTTTTTTTTTCTTCCCCGGGGGGGAAAGAAGCTGTTTGTGCGGCACAGCACATGGGAGTCTGTCAGGAATACAATGGTGGGTTGCTTTAGGTTCTCACCTCGTGTCTCCGTTAGTTTTTTCGTGCCTCTCTTTGACCTGGGGAATATCATGCTCCCGTCGGCACTTGAGCTGACTGCAGAAGTTTGGGCGAAGAGGCAAGAAATGTGACATGTATCGTTGGTGAATGGATTTATGCACTTGCATTGACGAGCTTGAGGCCAATCGCACACCTGGTCCATTCTTTTGAGAAGCAGTTGAACAGGTGGTAGCTAGATGAGTAGGTAGGGAGCGGCGACGGAGCGCTGTCCGCTTGGAGCTGAATGGGCGGTTTGTGTCTGTCTTTGGTAGAGGGACTGCGAAGTGAAGCCAGTGTGGTTGGTGGTGGGACAGGACCTGAACCATCGATGAGGATGAGCTGGCGAGAGGAAAAAGGGTCAGGTTTCGTAAAAGGTGACATATGATGAAAGCTGCATCCATGCTATGGAGGACATTTTAGGCAGGAGGGCAGATATCAATCGCTTCCATTGAATCGATCCTTCCTCTTCACTTCGTCGGAGAGTGTCATGGTTTTCAGTGAAGTCGTATTTACCCGATATGCGTTCCTTCCTCCACACTACAGCGCCCAGGCACCATCGTGCCAGGCGATCACCAGGCGGCAATCAGCTGTCACACAGCTCCGGAGAACCGTGCCTCAACTCCTGACACAGCAAGTGTCCACCCAACAAAAAGATGGGGAAAGCGGCCAACACAAAATGACGGCATCAAAAGCATTACACGACGGACACAAAACAACGCTACCTCTTCCCAACAAGCGCTTCTTCCTTCAAAGCAAGTGATTCGTATTGGTACAATACCACTCGCTACATACCTACCTAGTCTGGTAGCAGCTTTTACAATACACGAAGCTTGTAACGCCATTGCTTCCTTTGGAAAGTGATGTATGTCGCCGAGTGTACCTACCTCGTTTCTTGTAGTGGCTACTGCAAGCTTCCTCTGGAGTAACACCGCGGTTCGGAGGGCCGGTGGGGACACATGGGCTTTGAAGTGGAAATCCGTCCGGATCTCTGATTGTGGGAACAGTCGAGGATCATGAAAACATGACAGCCCACCAAAGCCACCATGAGCTCAACAGAAAGCTGGAATTTGCCTTTGACATGTGCATACAACGTTGTCTACAAGTATAGCTGTGCTAGTAAATTGATTCTCATCTACATCTTGATACTTGACAACCACTGTCTCTAAACAAGCCACAACACCAACACCAAACGAACACCGCGAAACCGCAAACTCTCTAAGGGGAATAATAATAATAAAAAAAAATAAAATAAAAAAAAAGACATTATGCCGGCCGGAGACGCGGACTCCGACCCTCGGCAGCCTGGCGTCTCACTCCGGGAACGTCGCCGGCCCTCGACCGCCTCGATCGCTTCCGCCTCCAGAGTCTTTTCCTCCGCCGCCGACTCCCTTTTGGAAAGCGCCAAGGATGTCGAACATCGGATCGAGGACGCCTTGCTGGTGCTGTGGGATGAACTCCCCCACTGGCGCCGCGATAACCACTTCATCCACTCGGGCTACCGCCGCACCTCCAACAGCTTTCGGAAATCCTTCTGGTCCATCTTCTACCTCCACAATGAGTTTGTCAACATCTGGACTCATCTCCTAGGCGCCATTTCGTTTACCTTTGGCGGCTTCTTTCTCTACAATGCCATTGCCCCGAGATATGAGTCCGCCTCCGAGTCGGACGTCCTCGTCTTCACCTGTTTCTTCTTGGGCGCTTTCTGCTGCCTGGGTATGAGCGCTACGTACCATACCCTGTCCAACCACAGCCCCGAGGTGGCCAAGTGGGGAAACAAGCTGGATTACACTGGAATCGTCTTTCTCATTGTGGGGAGCTATGTGCCAACCATGTACTATGGCTTCTTTTGCTATCCTGCCTTGTTGACTTTTTACCTGAGCATGGTAAGTTGAAAAGAAAATGAGACACTTGTCAAACTGGTGTTGACAAAACATCCAATGCTTACAGATCTGTCTCTTGGGTCTTGGGTGCATCACCATCTCCTGGTTTGAACACTTCCGCACTCCCGCCTGGCGTCCTTACCGTGCCATGATGTTTGTCGGTCTCGGCGCATCCGGAGTCGTCCCCATCCTGCACGCCTTGACTTTCACCTCCTTCACCCAACTAGATGAGCTCATGGGACTCAGATGGGTCATGCTTCAAGGGGCCATGTATATCTTCGGCGCCCTCCTGTATGCTGTAAGCCCTCAACTCTTATGTCTTTTTATCCTCACTGCCGGGTTCTGACTAGAGCAAACACCAGGTTCGATGGCCTGAATGTCGGTATCCCGGTCGTTTTGACATTTGGGGCAGCTCCCATCAGATCTTCCATGTCTTTGTCGTCCTGGCGGCAGCCACTCATTTACATGGTATGGCCAAGGCTTTCGACCACCTTCATGCCGTCTTGGGAGGCACCTGCTGAGACCCGATACAAGTACTATGGCATGTTGACTGCGTACTAGAAGGTAGAATGTGTGGAGATAGATAGATAGATAGATAGATGAATAGATGGATGGATGGATGGTAAAAGTGATTGACTCAATCATTTTTTCGAAACTGATGCTGCTCAGGGCAAATGAGGTCAATTGACCAATGTAACAAGAAGCGACTCGTTATATTGGTACACTTGGCGCTGTTATGTATCAGGGTTAACTATGGGCTTGACACGTATTATTCAGTCCATGTGCTTACCCTATTTCGCCGTCCGGTGGATTGTCGTATAGTGATCATGCTTCGCTTTGGATCGTGAGATAGTCATTTCCCGCTTTTGTATATTGGGCATTACTCCCTCCGTGGCTCGGCAAAGTCAACAAATCCTTAGTTTACTGCACTCCAAGATCCATCACCCTGATAATACCCGAAGCCATTGCACACGCCGCCCAGCAGCTGTATTGCATGTTCGGGTTCCATACAATCGTCGTTAGCCTGGTCAGCGGCTCATGGGTGACCACGCGCGATGCAAGCTTGTCGTCGAGCTCGGCCTCCCGATGCAGATCCTCTACGGTGCCTCCATTCTTCCTTGGTCGGCCCTTTTTCTTTCCAGACGCCGTTTTCATTCTTTCTAGCTTTTTCTTCCGGTCCAGCTCCTTGCGCTTCTCCGTCCTGGGATCGTCATTGGGCTCCGGTAGGAAACCTTGCAAGATCCGGACCGCGCCTCTGACGGGACGACTGCTGTCTTTTCCCTGAAGTTCAGGACGTCTAATCGGCCTGTATTCGTGTTCCATTACCTTGATTTTTTGTAAAGGCTCCCCCTTCTGCTTGAAAAGCTTCTGCAGAGCGTTGCAAGAGAACAACGAGCCATCTGCACAGCCGGCCAGCACAAACGGGTGCGTAGCTCCGGCAGAAATGCAAGTGATAGTGTTCGGACCCGTGCAGATACTACGAGCTTGGCAAAAGAAGCGATGGTGTAGGAACGCAATCGTCGTGTTGGGCGTGGAAGATGGGTAGAGAGCCATGAAACCCTGCATGGACTCGTTCCAGCAAAGCATGTTCGGCTGGAAGCTGATAGCGGGAACAGGGAAGTATGTGAGTTCGGAGCTTGGCTGCGACAGGTCGGTCAAGGTTGCACATCCGCCAACGGGAATCGAGGCCACCAAGTAGGGATTTGACGGGTAGGCTGAGCAGATATCGATCACATACGTGGTGTGTACTCCGACTCTTTGTAGCATCTTTCGGGGGAAAATGGACCACAGTGTGACAGACCCATCCGAGTGACCGAGGGCGATGCGGTTGATATTCACCCAGCTTAGACAAGTCACCTTGTTGTTGTAGTCATCATCGATGCCAAGGGTGACAACAGGCGATTGTACCCATTCTAAATAAGCACTCTATTAGCCAGGAAGTCCTCAGAATATCGGGTGGAGGAAACATCTAACTACGTCTGACTTACCGTAAACGGGAGCGCTCCCTTCTTCAACCTTCTTGACGTCAATAATCCGGGCCTTTCCATCTCCTGTAAGTATAGCTAGTAGCCCATAACTACCGACTGACTCAAAAGGCACGGGGCACCACTGCAGTCGCTTTGGCCGGCCCCAGCTGAAACACAATGTCCTGATCAGCCGCGCTGGAGTGGTGGAAGGTCGAGCCAGCGTTTTGCCTGCCTCTTTTGGTGTGAACTCCCAAAGCTGGACGCAGCCTTCAGCCATAGCACCGGGGTCTTGGTGCTTATCTGCACCGTCTTCTTGTCGCCTAGGTTCTTGATCCGCGAAGGGTATGCTTGCGATGGCGAGAACTTGCTTGGCATTGACGAGAGATGGAACCCAGCCCATGGCAAGCGGAATACTTCCAATGTCGAGCATCCAGCCTGTTGAGCTCTTGTCTTGGTCTTCGGATGTGCTCGTTGGGAGACCAGAAGCCGTTATCGGTAAACTCTGGCCTTGGGCAAATCGGAACTCTCCCTGGCGATCCCAGGGCCCAATGAAGGTAACAAGATCACCTCCGGCTTGAGGAATTAGATGCTCCCCCTCATGACTAGAAAGCAAATGGCATTGCTGTACCTCGGGACTCTTGGCGTAGTAGTTATTGTACCATCGAGCAGCGTTTTGTTCCTGTGTCCGCTCGAAGGCAGGCGCGAGCCATGGACTGGGACAGATGCCTTGGGGTTCATGAGGCAAGTACCTGGGTGGCAGAGCGGGAAATTCGGCCCATCGCATCTCCAAGTCCCATATGATCTTGATGCGGTTGTACTCGGGCCCGTACATGGAGTCGCGCAGGGCACTATACCGCGCATATCGCCTCAAGGGACCTGCGTAGACACGGGTCACAATGCGTGTCTCGAGGGGGTAATGAGGAATGTCATGGAAGCCTTTGCGGCTCTGGATCATGCCAGCGCCCGTATTACGGTGTTTTTTGGGCTGGGAGGACGCATCGTTCTTTTTACCGTCAGCATCGCCATCATCTTCATCGTCCTCGGCCTCGTCTTCTTCACTGGTAGGATCGGCCATGTCGGCTTCTTCATCCTTGTCATCCTCTTCCTCCTGAGCGGGCTCCGGGGCAGCGAAATCCTCATCGTCGGAGTCCTTGGATGTGACGGGGATTGGCTCGTCCTCATCATCGAAAACAATAGGTGCCTCAACGTAGCTCTTTTTTATGCCTCTTGTGGTTCGGCGAGCCATTTCGGATGAGCAGAAGCCGTCGCTTGGCCTCAGGTGTGTCCCCCTTTCGTCTCCGTCGCTGCCCGGACCCCTTGGGTATTCGGTTTGTCGTCGAGACGCTTTGGTGCAGTTGTGAGACACACACAAGCCAGGAAAACAAAAATTAAACAATGCCGGCCAAAATCAGCCCGTCTGCATGCAGCTCATGAAAAACGATGCTGATATTGATGTCGGGACGATTGGTGCTTCTTCCTTTGGTCTACTATCTCGGGACTCAAATATTCCCGGGTCCAAAGGTTCAGACTTTTTTGAAGTTGAAGATAGTCCATAGTATATTTATTCAATCTGGGGAAACCGCAAACTGCTACTGGTGGAGTAACTTGTACATAGTAAAGCACACGCCACGCCAGTGAATTTCAGTGGGGTTATCTCCTGGAACAGTGGATATCAAGCTCGCCGGGTTCCTGATCGCCAAACCGCAACCCCGCAATTGACCATTAACAGTCACGTCACGGACGCAGATCAGATCAACAACATCTTGTGCAACCTTTTAAAAGAATTAAAAATAAAACTCCACTACGCCGCCCTATGTTGCCATGTCAAGCTTTGCACCAGCAAGCCGTGATTATTGTCTTCTCGATATAAGGCAATCGACTGAGTTAAGCACGATATGTGGCTATTTATATCAGGATCTAACTGCGTCACAGATCCCAACACCAGTGTATGTATGTGCATCCATGGTGCGCTCACAGCCGTGGCCCATGACGACAATTCAGACCTTGCCCACAATGCCTTCAGGAGTGGCCAGCTTGGTCGCAAGCGCAACAAAACCTTCTAGCAAACAGATGGCACCACGAAACATGGACACTTCGAGAAGCCCTCATGTTGGCTGATGTTGCGGACCGATCAGGCCTCCAAGCGCGCTGATGGCCATGCCCATTTCCATAAATGGTTCCTATGTCTTGCTGGCTCTTGGTGCTCATGGAGAAGGCGGCCGATGTCCCGGAGATGATGGTGCCAGATCCGAAATTAGACGCGACCGAATAGACACTAAGCGCTGCGCCACTTACAGCCGAGTTCGTGCAGAAGATAATGACCCTCGTGGAGATGGCCTAAAGGGCGTAAAGGTTGAGTCGTCCTTACTTGTCGGCCGAGATACCAGGGATGACATGGCTAAACGTCGAGACGGCGCTAAGGATAGCGAGCAGGTGTTTCGGCGTGAGTATAAAGAAGAGCGGAGTGAACATACCAATGAAGATGAAGAACAGAGATGCGATAAGGAGAATGCATCCGGTGTCCTTGCAAGCGGCCGGGATATAGAAGTCCGTGGCTCTCGGGGGCAGACGGGCCTTAACGACCATGCAAGGGAAGAGCATGAAAGGCATCACGAGGAAGCCTGTGATGCCTACGGACAACCCGAAGCTGGAGTTGTTGAGCAGCGGGGACAAAGCAATGGGATGACGATATCGCCAACAGAGGATCCGGAAACCACCACTCTCAGTGCGGCTGTTCGCTTCTTGTCAAACTCTTTGAATACCGCACCCATTGCGATGCCCATTAGCACCCCTTGGACGAGCATGACTTGCCAGTACTTGTCACAAAGACTCAACAGCATGACGCACAACAGGTGAAGAATGGCGGCGGGATGGATAACCTGATGATGGGCATTTGTGCTTACCAGAAGCGATGCGAAGACCGAGACGAAGAGGTCTGTCAGGATGGAGCACTTGTGGCAGCCAAATTGGTCGAACAGTGAATAAGCCGCAGAGGCCAGCTGAGTGCGTCCCCAAGGCGGTGGGAATCACTGGCGAGACAGACTTCTCATGACAGTTTTTACTCATCATTTTCATCCCTTCTTTTTATCCCATATGGGTTGTGCACACGACCTTAGGCTGCCGAGGAAGGTTGGGTGTTAAAATCGCTGCTGTCTCGACAACTGGCCGGGCACGGGTACCAGTCGGCAACCCGGGGATGACGGATGACAAAGGATGGAGGCCGCCCGTTCACCACCATCGTTCGTTTCTTGCGGCTCTTTCCTCTCCAGAACGGAAACCCGCATCGACCTCAACATATGTTCAGTCAACAGGCCCGAAGCGCAGCAGTGTGAGTGGTATTCCAGACGGTCGTACTGTACGCAGGCCATGAGCTGGCAGTGTGCACTGTCGCATGGGACCAAAGGTGCTTGGAGTTTGACTGGCGGCGAGGTCCGCGGGGGGCGGCGAGCGGGCGAGGCGAACAGACAAGGGACGTCAAGGTGGAAACGTGGAGGTTTGGACAACATGATGGAACAGACGGCAATCTGCATGATCACCCTTCATCAAACTTTCAATCAAGCAAGCACATCCAGGCGCTCAGGGAAGGAGGCCCCCTTCAGTCCAGTCTGGCCGCCTTTTCTTCTAGGCCTCGCCTGCCCAATGCGTCCTCTTGTCCACCTCCCTCACTTCCCTTGTTTCCTTCCTCGCACCTTCTTTCCGTTTCCACTGCAATACTGGATAGAGTATGGCGACGTGAAATTGCAACGCTTGACAGAATCGAACTCGAATTGCTGTCGGCCCAGATTGACGAGCCCATCAATCATCCTCGCCACTCTCCTCGACCTTACCCGGATCTCCGACTTCATTTTTCATTTGTGCTCCTGCTATCTTTCACAGCAGTCCCCGTCGTTCTGCCGGCCCTGCTTACCACTGCATCACAGAGTATCCAGGGGCAACTGCCTGGATTGCAATGGCCAGCCTTCGCCTTCTTCCTCGCAACCTCGGCGGCCCCATCGACGGCTTTGACCCGAACATCAGCAACGGCACCTGTTACAGGAAGACTTCTTCGAAGACTATCGCCCTTCCAAACCACTATGTCGCCTGTGGCAATGCGGCTCTTGGCCACGTCGGGTGCTGCCAGCTCGGCGACATGTGCCTCGAGGAAGGTGCATGTTTCGATGCAGACTTCGTCACCACCTACGTCGCTGGTTGCACAGACAAAGATTATGAAGATCCCATTTGCCCTCAAAAGTTTTATGATGCCACTGTCTGGTCCGGCCTTATCTACTGTGACGATGACTTCAAGTGGATGCCGTGCATCCAGAACAACGACTATCCGGATTACATCACGAAACCCCCAGCCAAATGTGACAAGGACAAAGTTTGTCCCAACACTGACGTCTCCGCTGCCTTCCAAACCTTCACTGCCAGCATCATCCCCAATGTCGTCAAACTTCCTTCACATCTGGACGAGAGCAGCCTCAACTGGCTCGTATCCGACCCATCCTTGGTATACCACAAGCCCAGGACCACCTCAGTCCAGACAATCACCTCCTCTCTAGATTCAGCAAGCTCCCAGGCAACCTTCACGGCTGGTACGGGTTCTTCCACGTCTACTCCATCTGCTGTTCCACCTAGACCCACAACAGCTTCCTCGACCGATGACTCCTCGAACCTCAGTACCGGTGCCATTGTGGGCATAGTCAGCGTTGCTTCGGTTGTTTTGGCACTGGTGGGCCTTGCCATCTTCTTCGTAGTCCGCCGACGAAGAGCAGAGGATGAACACAGCCCGTCTGGTGCCGACGGGTCTGCGAACACGGCCGATGATGTGCTAGGAAAGGAGTCCAAGTCGCCAATCTCGCCAAATGGGAACTCGGAAGATCTACATGCGTCCCCGATTATCAGTGAACTCGACCCCCAGACTGACCGCCCATGGTCTTTGCGTTCAGAGTTACATGGACAGACGGTATCACCCTCTGCCTTCTCTCCAGCCACCACAAGTCCTGCCTCGTTCCAGCCATCCCCATTAATATCCGAGGCTTCGGAAGGTCAGGGTTATGCTGTGGGACATGCACACAAACCGTACGGTGGAAAACATCTTCAGTACATCAATGAGTTGCCTGGTTAACGGCTCGACTGATTAGCGGCGTGTGGGGGTACCTTAGCAAGGGACCCAAGGGATTCCATTTTTCCAAGAGGAAGGCAGATGTGAAATGGATATAGGCGGAAATCTTGGGCGTAATACAAGCGGTCTTTTTATGGTGGACGAGTGTCAAGATCGGCGACTCAAACTTTTAAGCTACCAGTTCTTTTTCCCGTTGTTTTGAGTATAAGTACACACACGTCGAGTAGAAAGCAAGTCAGAGTTTTCGACCAAACCTTCAAGTTTCCCTGTTTTCTATCGGCATACACTTTTGTGATGTGCCAGACCGCACTCATGACAGTGCTAGGTGACGGGACAGTGAGCAAGGTTGACGTAAATTTAGAGAGGACGAGATAAACGCCAGAAAACCAATCGAGTGTCGAAACACGCTCCTGCCTTATGAATCACGGATCCAACATGATGGAAGGTTGAATTAGTCCGCAACAGTAGAAGCGCTGGAAGCGAGGGGACGTTGGGTCATTCATCATTTCCCGTTATACCCCCCCTCTCCGCCCCTTTCCCGGGGCCAGGACCAAGCCTTTCGCAAAGCCCAACTTGAGCTCAATCGGAGGGATGCTACCAGGCAATCTATGCATGGTATGCCTGATAGCAGCTGGCTTTAGGATCATTTTATGATTCTCAGTAACAGATTGCAGAAGATTTAGGGGGATCTCATGATGAGTCTGGCATTTGCTTCCATCAATATCCTCCGTAATATGGTATAGGTCCATGAATGATACATGATGCCAGCTGTCCCACATAACCGTCACTCAGTTCAAGAGGTCATTGTTCCCCGATCTTTCTCGTCGACAACTAATTACCCGATGTCGGCTTCGCGGGCATTCTCGACTCTTGATAAATGCATCTTTGCCTATTCTCACGTATTGACTACCGTTAGAGGCCGTGATGGGCTCCCTACTCCAATCACCACTATACGCAATCACATATTCACTCCGCGTCTCACATCACCTGCTTATAACAATGCTTAATGATACACACACCTATAACACGCGACATTTACTCCCCAGAGGCTCTGATTGACAACGCATACCTTGCCGGCTTGGTAAGACGGCTAAACGGTCTGTGAATACACTTCCTCGGTTGACTTCTGGAGGCCTAGACAACAGCCCCTCTTACACCCTTATACCACTTAACAGCCGTTTATGTCCTCCGACAAGGTACCGGATCGGCACCGGTTCGCATAGAGTTGAAAGCAATAGGCCATAATCCCGAGCCCTATTTGCATTACTCATATTGGGCAACAATCTTGAATTGAACATAACTTGCTCACGCAATATCATCCATAGCCTTCATCATGGGCATCTCCTATCAAACCCGCGGACGATGAACCCATTTCGTTTCGATCAACAGCTCGAGGAGGTGGGTTCAATGCCATGCACTTTTTTAGAGGAGGAAACAGGCACCCGTCCTGACTGGTAGGAGGAAACTGCTCACTGCAGCCTATACCAGGGTGAACCCCGTGAAGCTCAAGTTTGTGCATCACAGAGGCGTCTATGAAGAACTCCCCCTTGTTGCCTTCAACAAAGAAGCTGAGTGGTCTGACAAAAGAAGTTTCCAGGCCGCTAAGGTGCAACTTACCAAGCCCTGCAAATGGAGAGGGTGGACATATTTTGCTGTTCCATGGAGCCAATACCGACTTGATCGTCCTCTGCAGTATTCCCATTACCCCTCTACCTGGAAGCCAGGGTAAAAGCCCCCCCCCTCCCCCATTGGAGCCTTTCGAGCACTGCGAGCACGGCAAGAATGCCGACACCTCGTACAAGAACCTTCTCCCAGAGGGCACCACCGTAACTCACCTCACCCCCACTCTTGGTACTAAGGTAAAAAGGAAGTCAGCTCAGCGCCTTGGCCAGCGCCGGCATGGACGAGCTTGCTCGGTTCGTGGCGGAGCGCAAGGCTGTCGCCTTCCATGGTCAAGATTTCGCCAACTCTGCCCGTCGAGGAAGCTCTAAAGTTTGGCGAATACTTTGGCCGGTAAGACTTCGAAATCTTTTGATCATGCTTCAACCCGGGGAATAATGTGGCTGATAGTGGGAAATGCAGTCATCACATCCACTGGTGTTTTAGAGAAACGGTATCTCGTGCAATGAGGTGGCACTTTGGCTGTCCTCCGTCTTGACCTCGATTTTGATAACCGGAGAGCCGGGTCTTCGTCGCTGGGCTGCCCTGCGGGAACGAACTCGGGAGAACAAATCAACGTCGTCTTCCTCTTCATCCTGGTCGCTAGAAGTATACTTCTTGTTGAGCCTGTTGGTCTGTTTATGAGAAGGAGTAATGGGATACGAAGTCCTGTCTAACCGCGTGCCTTGATCACTGGAGGCGCGCGAAGCATGCGCCGATGTCTGAAATGGTCTACTTTCGGTGGTATTTCGGGCAGAGAGCATTGAGACTGATGGCATTTCGGTAACTCGAGCCCTATGGAGCTTTGGGGACCACGATGTGTGCCCATCCAAAGCCGAGTCATCATCCTCGCTGTCGTCGCCCTTGTCTTCACTTGGTGGCTTTCGGTTGCCTAGTCTCCCTTGCATATGCACGGCCAGGTCCAGTGACGGATTCGAACGGGTTGCGGCTCGGAACCCAGCTGAAGCGCTCAGGGAACTCAATGAGCGGTGTAATGGGACCTTCTTCTTCCTTGGGCTATCCATTAGGCCCTGCAGCGAGGTGCCTGTCCAGGGCTTGTCTTCGGAGTCCGAGTTGTGATCAACCCGTTTCCCTAAGACCTTGGCTAAACCTCTCGGTTGTCTGGCAGCCGTTTCAAGTCTGGCATGCCTTCGTTTTACAGCACTCGTTGGTGCGCCCGTGACAGGACGTGAGATATCATCAATGGTCTCAGCATTCCTGGAACTCGCAAGGTTCCTCAGCCGCTGGTACTCGGCGGCGTGCAAATGGCGAGTAAACTCGCCGGCCACGGAGAGAAACTCGTCCTCCACCATGCGATACCTATCATCGTAGCGAAGGCCTTCAATCATAAACTCCTCTCTCGGAGGCTCAGGTGGCGGCGATGTCGATGGAAACCGGGGCAGATGTGGACGACGGCTAGTGTCTGAGCCTCGTGCTGTATTGCCAGGTACAATATTGAGCCCATCTGCGCTCGTGCTCAGCTTCAGCTTCGCTTTGCTTGATGATTGCGCGGCGCGAGCCGAAGGTGATGATGCGCTGGGTTCTGAGGCGGGAGCAGCAGCAGTCTTTTTTTGACTTGGTATAACTTTCCAGGGCAGTTGTCGTGGCATGGCCGGTGACGTGCAGGGAGCTGCGCGTGTTAAGTTAGGTATATCAGCCCCATCAAGGATGCATCTGAATGCTTGTATACAACAGTGCTGATCAGTTAAATGGATGACGGAGTGTCAGTCGGTGCCCTGTATACCTACGGACCGTACTGTGCAGGTGCTGGTGTTCAGAGTTGCAAGCAGGCGCCGCCTGCAGCTTTATGGGTTAGGGTTAGGGCAAGGTCTCCAGTATCTGATCAATGATAAAGCACAGCAGATGAGACATCAGGTGGGTGGCTAAATGATAGAGGTAAGGAAAGTACCGTACTTTCGTGTAATAGTATTTAAACATTATAGTTAGCTAGCTCCATAGTAGAGGTAGCAGTTGTATGTTTTGTGTAAGGGCGGCAGGCGTTTTCTAGGAAATGGTACATGAGTCCTCTCGCCTCTCAACGCTTTAACACAGCAATCGCGTGTACAACCTCATCCATTACTGATGATCCTCAGCGTCCGTCATCCGTCACACTCTATCTACTCATCCTTCTTGTTCTTCTGGGGAATTGGATTTCCCTTTTCGTCTACCAGCCCCTTTTCTCTCATAACCTTGAGTGCATCATGAAGCGGATCCAAATCAGGACGAGGCGCCCGATGCGACTGGAAGTAGTTGTCGGCCCATGTGAAATACTGCCCGTAATTGACGGTAAAATACATGTGATGCAGTGTGTGGTGGGCCGGGCTGTTGATATACTTTTCAAGCCAGTGGCCCGAGATCATGTCACCATCATGGATGAGAATTGTCCACACCTGCACCAGAACGAAAAGAACCATATACAAGTACTTTTGCACCGGGCAAATAAAGACAAACACACTATCACCACGTTAAAAGGTCGCCCACAATAGAGCCCAGAGGACACAAGAAACTCACTGATAAGGGAGGGACTGAACATATCCATCGAGTGGGTGAAAAGCCAGAGCTGCCCACGGAGTCGGCACTATGTCGTGTTAGCTGGAAAACGCTGGGATTCCGTCCAGGGGGTGTGCGCCTACCAATCCACTTGTGGTGTGGCTTGTGAATGTACTTGTAGACACTGGGGTGGTGCTCAAGCCGATGAATCCAGTAAATCATGAGGTCATTCCAGATCATGAAGAGCACTGTTGAGATGGCCATCCATGCCCAGCCGTACTCGTCCACGCGAGTGTAGAGCAAGCTCTTTCCGCGCACCTCCGCCAGGAAAAATGGCAGGGTCATGATGTTGATCCAAGGGACGGCGGTCATGGATGAGATGATCTCTTGGCGTACCTGGTTCTGGAGGAAGCGCGGGTGGTACTCGAGACGGCGGTCAAAAATGAAGTAGTACGAGAAGGCGCTAAACACCCAGTATAGGAGCGTAGCACCGACCTGGGTGATCAACAGGATGGAAGCGCATTGTCGAAGAATGTTGTCCCGTGGCCATGCCGACTCGCAAGAAGTTTGCAATGGCGATTTTGAAAATGCAGACGTGCTGTTGTCGAAGCCATTGCCCAGCGCGCTATCGTCGGCTGGCAACAAGTATGCGTATAGTCTGTCCAGCACAAGAGGATCGAGAATCTCCAAAGCTGCGTCCATCTTTCCAAACCCGTGCGATGCATGCAGCGGAATGTCAACAACAGAACGTGCGGCTACACACGAATAAAAGAATATATAGAATGGGGAAAGGGGTAGCTCGAATCAGCAGATCCCGGATCCTTGACTTCCGGTAGCTTGCTGGTGGCGTGTTATGCAAAGCAGGTACCGACGACACAGCAGGGGTCCCCGTCTATCTCATCTTGGCCTGCTTGGCAGGCACGCACGCCTGTTGCCGAGTTGCTCCCAGTGGACCCCGAGTGCCTGAGCACGTGCACTCCTCCGGTCTGCAATAATGCAACTGATAGTGACTTCCTGCCTGAGATTAGTAAGTTCTATGGCATCACAATTGGAAACCTATGATCCTGGGTATATATACCTCTACACAGCAACATGATGTGGCTGAAACATCAGAGAACAGTTATTGTGACTGTACCCCTCTGCAGGTAGGTATATAGATGGTGAGTTTCTGTGCAAGATTCCACAAATCAGAGGGCCGCTGGTCTAGTGGTATGATTCTCGCTTAGGGTTCAATCCTGAGCATCGTTGCGAGAGGTCCCGGGTTCAATCCCCGGGTGGCCCCTACTTTTTTCAAATTTTTAAAGAAACTCTATCGACACGTTAGGAAAACTCTATCCACACGTTAATAGGTAAGTAAGTTTTAATTATCCCTTTTTATATATAAGGAAGTTTTTTATAATATTTGAAAATATATTATATATTTTAAAATTCTTATTTTAATCCAATATTTTCTTACTAGTAACTAGACCTACTTTGTAACTTGAGAAAACTACTAATTATAAAATATTTATAAAACTTATACCTAAGTAGGTTCTAAAGAGAGTTTGAATTAACTAATAAAGAGGAAGAGGAAAGTTTATACTAATAAGGTATAGAACTTCTAATTAAATATATAAAGTACGGTAGGTAATAAAGATTGTAAGAGGCGCTAGACTAAGAATATATTACAATATCAACTAGAAGGGACTCGGAAAAGATGTAATCTCGAACCGCAGTCCTATTGACTCCGTTAGCATTATTTAACCCGGTTCGGCCCTTGATCATAACAAGGTCTTCATATCAACCTAGCTGAGCCACTCATATCACCACAGCCTTCAGTCTAGGAGGAACTCACCATCCCTTGCGCTGCCAAGTAAAGTAACCCTATGACCAGTCGATGGGTATACCCCGGAGAAACGGTAGGAGTGCTCTGTGGGTATGGCCTGGTAAGTCCGAGGTCTGCGAGTGCGCCAGCTCAAGTGTCGTCATGTGCATACGGTGCGTAGGCATAAGCCATAAATCTAGGTCGCATCCCATCAGTCATTCCGCAATACGCGCATCGGCAGCGGCACCGACGCCGGCTTCTGACTCTTACTATCAGGCCCCCTCTTAATAGGTTTCCTCTCCCTCGTATCTGCCTTTACTTTTGCAGCCGCTCCCGCCGCCTTGGTCTTTTTCTACTACGTACTATACACCAGGTACGGACCCGGTTGGGCAGCATCCCCAGTCGAAGTGCGAAGCGACGGCTGTTAGCGGAAATATATAAGTTTATTATACGAAGAGGAGTAAATTAAAAGAGAGTAGTAAAAATTATACTCTTGAACTATATATATAGACTAATAATAGGGTAATACTACGATACTTATTACAATCTATAATATTGTCATAGGGTTAGCCTGTGTGCTATCACGGCACTAGCGGACAGGCCTTGGCATGGGGTGCAGCCGTGCAGCTAGGCATGTGACCGACCCGTTGCCGGGCCGGCGCACAGGCTCAGGGTCAAAACCCTAGACCCCACGTGCACCTTTACACGTTTTCCTCTTTTCTTCTTCATTTTGTAATTCTATAATAGACCTAGTATCAACGTATTAACTTACCTCTCGTAACCACATCGCTCGTAACAATCACAAGATCAATCTATATACTTCCAGGGAGGAAATTAAATATCCTATTACATTCAAGCAATTGTGCCGTATTATTGTAATAGCGCATACCCTAGAAGAAAAGGTAGGCTAGGCTTCGCTTAAGAAATAATTTATATAGTCCAAAGTAATTGCTGATGTCAGCGCTTAAGTAAGTAAGGCTTAAAAGCAAGTCGTTAAGGCCTAAAAAAAAAAGTTACTCTTAAGTAAGTTATTTTTAATATTAACAATATACCTATTACCCTCGAATCGGTAATAGAGTAGGATAATACTTTTTATTATTAATCAATTAATATTATTACTATTAAAGATAAATAGAAGGGAACAGAATATTAACAACACTAGAACAATTGGACAAGGGAACGAGGAGGGGATAATTGTACTAACTACGGGTGCTACCTAAATTACAACTACAGTAAGAACCGAAGCACTACCCAACGAAGCGCCTAATTGTGCTTAAGAAGCTGCTCGAGCAGCGCCATTATACAGGCTTAGTTCGTAGCTGTTATGGGACTGGCGCCCGACAAGGCATCTGGCTCTGACTAGCCAGACCTGAGTGCTAAGACGGCAGCCCGCATTGAGACCGACTCGGACTGCGACACAACAGCGCCCCGGTCTTCTAGAGCATTCTCTAGCAGCCTCAAACTACAAAGTATCACCCCAAAGCATATAACTATTTAAGCTCTAGTACTCTAACCACCTGGAGGGTAGCGTTTTCTCCTTTCTTTCTTCGTAGAACTCTAATATATATATATAAAGTCAATACCTACGTATCGCTTTACTATCCCCTTATATTAGGTTCTACCCTCCTATTAATCAATTAATTAGAAGGAAGGACTGCCTACAATTAATAGTACGGCATATACTAGCATTGGAATGGTTTCTTTTTCTTTACCGAATAATAATAATAATACTAATACCGATTTAGAGATTTCCTACGATTCTCTAACGATTGGGAGTTTTGGAATTCCCCCCAATACTATTAATTTATTCGGTAATTTATTCCGAACTTTATAGGCTAGCTTACAGCTAAAAGGGAAGGTTAAATTTATAATCCCCTTTTCTATTTACTCCCAATCTACCCTAAAGCCTAAATTTATATACCTTACTAAGTAGGATTCCCTTAATAGTAGTAACAAGGATGAAGGAAAATTCTAAAAAGATAATAAAGAATCCGACGGCGATTCTAATAAATTATACTAATAGAAGCCGCTCGAATTCCCTAAATAGGATAGCAAGCCTACTAGTTTTCTCTTCTACTATAATAAGTGGGTTAAAACGTATAATATAATTTTAAGGCCAATCTATATACCGATTCGAATACTATATAGATCGAAATCCTTAATACCCTACTAATTAATAAGTAGTAGTAGTTAGAAGGATATTGGACCGCCCGTACCCTCTCCGGTAATAAAGATCCAATTGAATTATTCGATTAGATCTAGTAAGTTTTTGATACCTATTATACTTAGGACTACACCCTTAATAACTTCGTGAAG